AGGACTCGTCTAAGCAGTCACTGCAGAGTCGGTAACGACTGAGCACAGATTAAAAAAAAAAAAAAAGTAGGAAATGCAAATGGGACCCTCTTAGAACAGGGCTGCAACTAATGTGCTGGACCTCCCATCAGGGTCCCTGCCTTATCTGTTAATTAAGTGGGAAGTTGGCATGCTATGCAAAGCTCTAGTGTCTAGTGTAGCCTTTCTTCCCAAGGGTGCCTTCAGGCCCATGTAAGGCTTTCTTAGAAAATGAAATGGGGTGGGGGGCAGGGAGCTGAAACTGGTGACTGTAAGCAACTTCATCATTTTGCTTTCTGGTAAATAGAGCATCTGTTTCGTGAGTACCTTTCCATGGCAATCCTTTGGTGACAATGTCCCCAACATGATCTCAAAATTCCCACAGGTGTGAAAAGATTGCTGGCCTTTGGTATAGAATCCAAATGGTTGCTCCATTTGGCCCAAAGCTCTTTAAAATTTCCAGTGGTTTGCTTTTGCATATGAACCGTGAATTATACTTTATAACCAACTTTGATGAATGCGTAAGCAACCTGGTGATGTTTTTTTAAAATGGCTATTTATAGTTTATCTATGGTCAGAAAGCAGAAACTGTAGAAACTGAAATATGTGTTGTCTTCCTGGCCATACAGAGAAGGATTGAAGACAGAATGAATGAACCCAAAGTTTTCCTTGAGTTTGTCATGACTTATACATGTAATGTTAAACCATAGTTTAATATGTGCAGATGCAGCCAGTAAGCCTGTTTGCATGTACTTTTCATATGTACTTGATGACATAAGTTATGTTTGCATTCTGGAAGAGAAAAAAGGCTACTGCTGACCTGCATCGTTAGGGGATTCATCTACGTAGTTGTTTCTTAGTCCCAGTCTTTTCGATATATCTCCAAAGCTTTTACTTACTGGCCTGAATTATCCTGACTTGAATACATAGTTTTGACTCCTGGAACAGTATTTTGAGAGCCACATAGTACAATACAGAAATGCGTTTAAAAATATGCTATTTTAAGAGAGATGCACGTTCAAGTTTAAGTGCTTCCTAAGCATGCTGATTTCAGGCTATTGATACACCAGATCATGGCAGATTGCCATGAAAAGTTTGTTTATTTTACAGAGCTTATAGGCTACTCTGATCACAGCCAACCTTGAGCATTGGGTGGTGGCTGGAAATCCATGAATCTACCAGCTTGAGACCAGCCTGGGACAATCTTTGATGAACCTTGTTCTGCTAATGCTTGAGGGACAAATAGGAAGAGTGTGCATAAGGGCAGCCGCGACACTAAAAAGGAAACCACAAACTCTGAATGGCAGCAAGGATTCCCACTCCATCTCAGGGCTGAAGGTAGAAGGGCCTGGCTACGGCACTGAAATTGCTCAGGCCTCATCTGCTTCATTGGTTCTGATCCATACGCTCATCAGATGACCATGAGGAGCTGCTGAGAGCAAGGCAACCCCTATTCCAAAGAACCACCTGGTTCTCCACAAACACGCACACACGCATTTTTGCAAAAGATGCTATCTTGACAGTGGGACTAGAGGGAAAGAGGATGGAGAACCAGCATAATTCATTATTTCAGGCCTACACCCTTAATGTTGTAAGGTTTACCCCGTTCGACTCAGAGAAACTCTCATGACACGTGTGTTCAGCAAAGAAGTCTACTCAAGCGTAACCAAAGCCAGGATTGGTTTGGCACATTTTACAATACAATTTATAGTTCCCCGTTCCTGTGCTTAGCCCCTGTTGCTTG